AGTTAGCCACGACAAGGCTAGCGGACTAACCAAGCTAAAGTTAGCCATTAGAACTAACGAAGCTAACGTTGTTAGCGCACTTTAAATGCTACCAAGAAGTCCGAATAGTTTTGTTACGTTCTTAAATTAAATAGCGAGCACACCGCTCGGCACTTCGTTTAAAGAAAGTAAGCGTGTTCCTGGTCACTTTTTGGTTAAATTTACCTGGTTGAAGTCGTCAAAACGGGCTAAAAGCTTGAGCTAACTATGTCTAGCCACCTACCACAGCTAGCTAACCAGATAATCCGAGTGGATCGGAAGAGCCAAGCAGACCAGAATATCGCTGTGTGCTCCGTTTCTGACGAAATTCATCTGTATATGCTAGGTGACTCATTTAATTAAACGTTTTCAGCAAATACAAAAGGAATTACTAACGTGTTAGCGGAGCAGTTTCTTCTCATGAAAAAAATGTGTCGACTAGGCCCCATGCGCTGCTCGTCTCTCCCCCGACTTGCTTCGTAGTCAGCCCTCCCTCCCTTCCTGCTCCCGCGACGATGAAAACACGATGATGGGGAAGGATTTGGCTTAGTGTTGTCATACTGTTGAACAATGACCCAGAAATCTCTGCAGCATCAGTGCAGCTCGGTTTCTGAGGAACAAGGGTTGCGCCTCATGCAGTGCAGGAGGTCAGGGGTCAAGACAAGTTCAGTTGCTGCAAAGGTTATTAGGGGACACTGGTGGGCTACAGGCTTGGGTATATTTTGAACTTGTCCTCTTTTGCATATTGATGAGCTTGAAGGGCACTGATTATCCTCAAAAGCCTTGCCGAGTCAACTCAGAAAAGATTTATTAGTAGAGGTATTTTGTTTTGTGGCAGTTTAATTAAACAATATAGGGCCCATTTTTTTTTCTTCACATTACAACACATGGCAGAAATTTTATTGTTTGAATTTAATACAATAAATCAGAATACGGATGTGACTGAAACCTGCTTGACTGAGTACATATTAAACTAGAAAAAAATAAACATTTCAATAATTACTGTTATTGGCATTCAGATTGCGCATGCAACTTGTTTCTTTTGCATTGCCTATAACTTTGGAATTACATATAGAAAAGGGTGAGACATTGTGTGAGTAAATTTATTGTTTGTGTGGGTGTGTGTGTCATTGTTTATGCTACTTTGTAAGGTCCATTTTTCCAACTTACACTACATTGTCAGGACCAACTGCTCCTTATGGGGCCCAAATCCCGGGCCCCATAAGAAGAAGTCCTGTTGGTGAGTTAGGGTTTAGGTTTAGGGTTAGGTATGTACTGGTAATGGTTAGGTTTAGGGAAAAGGTCAGGGCTATAGAAATGAATGAAAAATGAATGGAAGTTCAAAGGCCCCATAAAGATAGCAAAACAAACCTGTGTGCATGTGTGTTTGTGTGTCTTACAGGGATGTACATGTAGGGATGATAAGATGCACAAACGATTCAAAAGGTTCAAAAGGAGTTCCTAATTCAGGTACTACATGAGACACTTTTTAAGCATTTTTTTTCTAACCAAATGTCCTGGTACACTTTTGATGTTTTGCAATTTCTCTTTCTTGTGTGTTGTATGTGTTGTCATAAAAACACGGCATGCAATCTCTTAAATCCAAATCCTAAGATAAAAGTCTACTTTAATTCAAGTCACAAAACATATGAAGAAAGTAATAAATGCCAGTCGCGATTTTAGCCTCTTTTTGGAGGTGCTCCAGCACCCCTAAATTTTAACTCAGCATCCCTGAAAAATAAAATAAAAACAAATATATATTTTTTGGCCGTTCTGGGTTTTGGTTGTTTATTGTATTTATGATTCAATGCAACTTGACTTATTTACAGAACAACTTTAATTGCTGGATGTCCCACCCCTGAGCTACTGGCCTTCAGTAACCGTGGCCCCCTGAGCAGTTTAGTTGAATGTCCCTTCTTTTGGAGGGTGTGATACAGTTTATTACATTTCCAAAACCTAAACTGAGTCTGGAAAAATATTAAAGATGATAAAGACCTGCGGCCAACCTCATGAACAGCTGAATACAACAGTGATAAACAGGAAGTATCACATGTTCATCTGTATAAAGGTAACCAAGTAAATTTTCCATTTTCTGTCATAATTATGTAAGTATGTTAATGGTAACCATAAGTATGCTTAATGGTTAAATTAAAAGTTAATGCTTAAAGCTAGTCGTGCTATGTTTTGTGTGTAGCAATATGGTGTAACATCTGGTTGCATAAGTTTAGTCTTTGTTTGCTTTGATCAGTTAACACTGAACTGATTTTGTACAAAGCGTTTATTAGGTTGTGTAATGAGCGCTATGCTTGTAGCATGTTAGTTAGCGCGTCTGTATTGCATGCCGCTAGCTTAGCGCTACTTCTTGTTGTGCTGAGCTCTCTAAATAGTTATTTAATCAAGTGTTTACCTATGCAGGTAAAACTAGATGTTTAACAACTGTTAAGATACACCAGAATGTAGGAAATGGCATCTACTTTATTCTAAATTTTCTGGGGGAGGACACCCCCCTATTATGATTGTTTAAGTCAAGAGCTATTGTTAACACAGGGGGCTGAGCACCCCCTAAAGATCAGTTTCTAGAATCGCCCCTGTTAAATACCCTGTCATTAATAAATAAATTGATTGTAATTTTTGTTTAAACATAAACATAATTTTAAATTTATACATTTCAGGGTTTGTTTTTATTAAGACAAATCTTTAATAGATAAGGCTTTTTGAAATGTTTAATATAACATTTTTTATAATAATAATATCTTAAAAAAAAAACTTTATCACCTCCGAGAGGACAGCACCAAAATGTGGCAGATTTAACACATACGGTAAATACATAAATCCTACCACAAAGTTTTTTTTTAAGTATTTCTGTTATTTTTTTGTTTGTGTTTGTTTGTTTTTTGCATTCTTTCCATTTTGTTCCAGTTCACTTTTCCACATTATAAAAAATAAGTTGATTAATCCATTTTTTAAAGTTATTTTCTGTTAAATGGTAAATACTGATCAATAAAGAATAAAAAATGTCATAACCAAAGCCAGCATCTTACTAGGAGGCGACCTTTGACGACGCTAGAACGCCCCCTGCTGGCTATCTTCAGTACGTTCACATAAACTATTAGGAATAAAACTAATAAAAATACACGTCATATATATATATATATATATATATATATATATATATATATATATATATATATGTAATTTTTTTTTACAGCTTTTACCTTTTATATATTTCATCTAGTTTTTATGCTGGTGCTCTTTTGTAACACATATATTTCCAATAGGTTTAATTGTAATTTGTTATTTGATGATTAAAGCATCATGATCGTGAGGTTCAGTTGTGAGGAGTATGAGCACATAAAACTAATGTAGCCTACAGGTACAAAATATTTATGACCGGAGTTTGTGCCCACACTGGCGGAGTTTACAGCCCCACATCCCAACACCACAGCACGTGTAAATCATATAATGCTGCTTCAATTAACTTTTTTTTAATTACTAATGTGCATACTCAAAGACAGTATTCTGATCCAAGGATTCAAGGTTCTTTACTGTCATTTGCATCACATGTGGTACATGTGGTGGAACAAAATTGTAAAAGAAAAACAGCAATATGATCTAAGATATGAACTAAGAAAAACGCTAATAAAAATACGCTAAGCACTAATAGTACAAAAACGATATGCCAAACAGCAGCACGAACATGAATCTGTGTGAGCAGATGAGCACGAATGAATACAGCAACATGAAACAGATCAGCAGGGACATGAAACAGATCAGCAGCAACATGAAACAGATCAGCAGCAACATGATGTGATTTTTCACAGTGATTATTCTGGTTAGAGATCCATGAGTCTAACAGCCTCAGGGTAGAAGCTGTTCCTCAGTCTAGTGGTTCTACACTTAATGCTCCTCAACCTCCTTCCTGAGCGGAGCGGGGCAAAAAGTGTGTGTGCTGGGTGAGTGGGGTCCTTCATGATGCAGGTGGCTCTCTTCCTGCATCTGGAGGTGTAAATGTCTGTGATGGTGGGGAGGCTGACTCCAACATCTTCTGTGCAGCCTTCACCACTCTCTGCAAAGCTTTTCTTTCTGCAGCTGTGCAGCCTCCATGCCACACGTTGATGCTGGAGCACAGGATGCTCTCCACTGCACACCTGTAGAAGGAGGTGAGGACTGAGCTTCTCAGACCAGATCACCTCAGCCGTCTGAGGAAGTAGAGTCTCTGATGAGCTTTCTTCATCAGGCTGGTGGTGTTGTTGCTCCAGCTGAGGTTGTCATTCAGATGCACACCCAAGTACTTGTAGCTGGAGACCATTTCCACCGCAGATACTCCTTTGTTCGGAGGGTGTGGGGTAGGTGTGTTTGTTCCGTCTGAAGTCCACAACCATCTCCTTAGTCTTCTTCATGTTGATGTGAAGGTTGTTCTTCCATGATATGTATTGTGATGTAGATATATTATTGTCCACTTCCGGTTTTTAACATGTAATCAATATTTTTTTGTCATTCTTGTATATTTGTTACTCGTATGACCTCCTTCATCAACAAAAACATTATTAGAATTTATTTTTTAGGTTTGATGTTTCATGGGGTTCACTTTTGTCAACGGTTGGAGAGGAACACACTTCACACCATCCACAAATTTCATCTTTTATCAAGATACAGAGTTTTTATAACAAAGCCAAAAAGATCCAGCATGTGCAGGCTAGAATTCACCTAAACCTAAAAAAAGTGAGAAGATCTACAACTTTTATCAGGTATAAATATAATAAAACATAAAAGTAACAATAAGGGCATTTTCACACCATTTATTGAATACAATTATCTTCTCATGTGGAACATTTCATCCAATCTGCTTTCCTTTCTATTTTCAATAGTTTCTTTTTTTTACATTGGCTAACTTTTCTTTAGTGCACGGTCTGAAGGCGGTAATGCCGAGGCTGCTTCTGATGGTGGTATTAATGACCAGAATGAGCAGAGGACCCAACAGAAAGGGAAATAATATAGACAAATAAAACCATCCCATGTACTGGACAGAGAGAACATCGGAGATGGAGATAACACACACGTTCTATTAAAAATGCTTTTATTTTTAAGATGAAACCAAGATAACAAATCCATTTCAATAATTTTCCTGTTCTTTTACTTCCTACATATATACTCACAATGATTGTGTGTTGAAGCTGTTGCAGCAGGTCATGAACTAGATCTCAAACATCAACGCTCCAACAAAAAGTCAAAATGAGAAGACAGTCAGAAACTTCTGCAGATATTAAGAGTCCGAGCTGCTTCAAGTACCTGAATCTTATCGGGATGTTCACAGTTTTACAGTATTAAACACAGGAAGTCAGAGGGTTCAAGCAACAGACTCAACAAACAGCGGTTCAATTCAAAATTTTGAAACTCTAAAACGTCTCCCACATTCACAGAAAAATAAGATACTAACTTAATCTATCTCTCATTTTCTGTAATTTTATGATTTTTTCTTTTGGTTGCAGTAAAACAAACTAGTCAATGATTGCAACTACAAGACGAAAATGACTAATTAAATGCGTACTGACAGGTATAATTAACTAAGTAACTAAATATAAACTGATACAGTACTCATTACCTTATAGTCATTGGGGATCACAAAAAC